CCACCCAGCCCCACCCACACCAACCCTCCATAAAGCACTCACAGCCTACCACCCAGCCCCCACCCACATCAACCCACCCAGCCCCACTCACAGCCTACCACCCAGCCCCACTTACACCAACCCACCCAGGACCACTCACAGCCCACCACCCAGCTCCACTTACACCCAACCCACCCAGGACCACTCACAACCCACCACCCAGCCCCCACTCATCAGCCCACAAAGCCGAACTCACACCAGCCCACCCAGGACCACTCCACAGCCCACCACCCAGCCCCACTCACATCAACCCACCCAGCCCGACTCACACCAACCCACCCCAGCCCCACTCACACCAGCCCACCCAGGACCACTCACAACCCACCACCCAGCCCCCACTTACAACCAACCCACCCAGCCCACTCACACCAACCAACCCAGGATCACTCACAGCCCCACCACCCAGCCCCACCACACACCAGCCCACCCAGCCCACCCACACCAGACCTCCATAAAGCACTCACAACCTACCACCCAGCCCACCCACATCAGCCCACCAAGCCCCACTCACAGCCCACAACTAGCCAGCCCCACCCACCCAACCCACCCAGGATCACTCACAACCCCCCACCACCCAGCCCCACTCACATCAGCCCACCCAGCCCGACTCACACAACCCACCCATGACCACTCACAGCCCACCACCCAGCCCCACTCGTACCCACGCACACCTAGCCCCACTCCGCATCAGCCCTTCAGTCCCACTCACATCAGCGCTCCCAGTCCAACTCCACGGCATCAATCCTCCCAGCCCCACTGACATCCCACCACCGAGGCCCCACACACTCCACCGCAGGCTCTACTCACATCAGCCCTCCCAGCCCCGCTCAAATCCATCTACCCAGGACCCTCACACCATGCCCGGCTCCGCCAGTTCCTCACTACCACACCACAGCTTCAAACCCAGCCGAGGCACGCACCACCACCTCAAACTATCACCCAGCCCCAGCGCTCACTGCCACGTCCCACTCTGTTCACACGAAAACACACACTACACAGCAACCACACTCACACACAAGCCCATCAGTCTCTGGCAACATAACCCACATCACCCTACCCCATCTTTCTCAGAACTTACAACAGGGGAAGCCTGGTGGTTAAAGCGTTAGCTCGTCACATAGAAGATCCTGGTTCGACTTCCCATGAGTGCCTATGTGTAGCCCATTTCCGGTGTCTGGCCGTGATATTGCTGGAATGTAAGGTCCCGTGAAGTGCGGTCCACGTCCTTCTCGAGACGTTAGTGCTTCGGTGACAAACAACGTTTCATACCTTTTCCAGTGGTCTCATGGTTTGTCCAGTTGACAGTAGGCCTAGAGAACCGAAAATCCTTGCAGGAATAACAAATTTCCGATCTAACCATCCCAAATTAGCCAACTATTACGACTGTCAGCAGCTGTGACAGCCAAAGATGGTTGTACACTCGGTTTAGTAAAGTCATATTTGGCGGTCGCGCAATTTGGAACCACGAATGGTTCTACATATATGCTTGTCACCGTAAATCTGGTACCGGAAGTAAACTGGACTCAGTCTCGCATATCGCAAATTGGCGCAGGCAAAGGGAGTCGGTAACCAGCTTAGTACCGGAAGAAGCGCCTCGCGAAACTCACAGGCCCTAAGCGGCGTAAAACCAGACTCACTCACTCACTCACTCACTCACAACACAACACCCTCAAACTCACACAATTGAACATTTTCCGTTTCCCTTTACTGTGTAAACATCAGCAGTTGGATAAATCTGTTAGTATGCCGAGTCAAACAGCACTCATCACGTGCCAGCTGTATGACCTTCACACAATCAACCGGGTCCAGGGTTGCTGTGGATTCTGTTTGTGCAAGGTCATAAATATTTTCGTCATGTGTACGTGATACCAGTCACTGGTCTGATTAAGGGTTAGGGGCGATTAAGGTAGCCCTAGTGGTTAAAGTGTTAGCCGGGTTCGATTCCCCACATGGGCACAATGTGTGAAGCCCATTTATGGTGTCCTACGCCGTGATATTGCCAGAATATTGCTAAAAGCGGCGTAAATGTAGAGTCCCTCCCTCACTCTGATTACGGGAAATAACCACGGCACAATTCGCTGACCTTATGTTAAACTGTCATAAGGAAGTGCCCAACTTGCTCTTTCCCGTTTCAGTTGCTTTTATATAAATCATTGTTGCCTTATTTTCATTGCTGGAGAGCCAACTCGATGAGGTCACCAACAGGATGTAAATACTACAAACCCTTTATTTGTGCTGATACATATTAATCACATTTTACATTGAAATCTCCGTGTTAAGAAAGTAGTTATCTGTTGTGAAACTATCGTGATTTTCAC